ATTGAAGATCGAAAAACGCTTGATTAGTATGGGATACACAGGTGCGCCGCTCGGTAGTGAAATACGTTAACTAGTTAGTTAGGTCCCCATCCGGATACTTCCTCGGCCGTGTTTTCTGCCTGAAAATGAATGCCTGACGGCCTGGTGGATGGATATCTGCCTTGGTGCCATGAAGAGATGGCAAAGACTTCGTGCGTCAGACACTGTCCCGCACGCACGTTCCACAGACAGCTCCACGAGACAGGGAACTGGGAAGTCTACTGGAGTCTTCACTTTCCCCAGATTGTCTCCAAATGCCCCAACTTCCCCCCACCGGCTCAATCGGCACCATAACCGCTTGTCCTCATCCATGGTTTCGCCCTAATTCCTCTCCACCGGCGAGGCAGTCCAATGATGATTCTTGGAACCTGACCAGGTCGGTCAAATGGCTGACCTCCTGCGGCCAAGGCCTCGCTAGTTAGCCAGGGAGTGATGGATGTACTATCTCCGATTCAATCCATGACACATAAGTTACAATTCATTTGAGATGATTAATACCTCTTCCTTCTCTCTTAACTAGGAGCGTGGTGCCGGCTCCAGATCTCCAGTGTGACCGAACATGCTATGATAAGGGTGAAATTGTCCGTTGTTAGTGCATCATCTAAGCTCCAGTGAACTGGGCTACGGTTGGGTTTATCATCAATCCCAAATGGCAGATAATACTCCTATCGATATCCTTCATTCGCGGGATCCTGATCGAAGAGATCCTGCTGCCAAAAACTCGCCCAAAGACTCTCCCACCATTCGCCCGGACCAGGGCGTCTCGCCACCGGTAGAAGCACAACGAAATACTGACGCTAAAAGTCTGGAGACCAAATACCAGCAGGATGTCGTGCCCGACGGTGGTTACGGCTGGGTCTGCGTTGCGTGCGTGTTCTGGATCAATGCTCACACATGGGGGATCAACAGCGTCAGTGATGTCAAACCCACCGCCAGTCGAGCTCTCAGCTAATCGAGGAAAGTTATAGAGTTATGGTGTATTCCTCTCCCACTACCTCTCGCACGACGTATTCCCCAACACCTCGGCCTTGGCCTATGCATTTACTGGTGGTCTGAGTATCTCGTGCGCTCTTTTGGTTGCTCCGTTGGCAACGTATCTCATCCATGTCTGTGGAACCCGGCTGGTGCTCAATTTGGGTGTCTTTTTTGAAACCATTTCCCTAATCGGATCATCTTTTGCCACTCAGCGGTGGCACATCTTCTTGAGCCAAGGTGTCTGCTTCGGATGGGGCATGGGCTTTTTGTTTGTTGGTAGCGTGGGGATCACTCCCCAGTGGTTCCTTCGGCGACGAAGTCTCGCCATGGGCATCAATGCCGCCGGGTCCGGCCTAGGGGGGTTGATTTACTCCCTCGCGGTGGGCGCCATGATCCCTAGATTGGGCCTTAGCTGGGCGTTTCGGATCCTCGGAATCATCGCCTGCGTAGTCAATCTGGTCGGGGCAAATTTGCTCAGGGACCGCAACAAGGATGTGGGCAGCCGCTACCGAGCCTTTCATCTACCATTGTTGAAGCGTCCCGAGTTCCTCCTTTTTCTAGGATGGGGAATCCTCAGCATGCTGGGCTATGTCGCAATTCTATTCAGCCTGGCCAATTTCGCCCTCTCCGTCGGCCTGTCCTCCCATCAAGGTAGTATCGTCAGCGCGCTGCTTAACCTGGGCCAAGGTCTTGGTCGACCCTTTGTGGGTATGTTCAGTGATAAACTTGGGCGCATTAATATCGCAACGTTTCTTACCTTTCTCTGCGGCCTGTTCTGTCTCGTGATTTGGATTTTTGCACGGAGTATGGGCGTTGTCTGCTTTTTCGCAGTCCTGGTTGGCACAGTCGCGGGCACATACTGGGCTACTGTCACGCCAGTCCTTGCCGAGATCATGGGCCTGAGAGACCTACCCAGCGGGCTCAGTATCAACTGGATCATCCTGGTCGCGCCAACTACGGTCTCCGAGGCCATCGCTCTCCTCCTGAGAGATAATGACTCCAAGGACTCCGTATATCTGAGGGTTCAGATATTCACGGGCTTTATGTACATCGGCGCTGCAATGTGTCTATGGGTCGTGAGAGGTTGGAAAGTTGGGGATTTGATTCGAGCTCAGCAGGAGAAGTCATCGGCGGCCATAGCTGCTACACCTGATTCTGTCATGGAAGGGAGTCGCCCTGATGCCGACAAGAAACGGGACCCTTCGGTGGCACCGCCTGTCCAGTCTGGTCCTTTGCTGCAGCCTTGGTCTCTACCTGTTTTAGTGCGTGGGATGGTGACATTGAAAAAAGTATAAGGACGACGTTTTTGCTCAAAGTCATACGGTTCTAAAACGTCACAGATACTGATATAATTAAAATCTAACACTAGATATGTGACCAAAAGAATCTACAGGTGCAAGCCTCGAGGGATAATTCATCAAACAGTTGTACATAAAGAGCTCTATGTTATACCATTAAACGTCATTAATTCCGTATACAATGCACACCCAAGTATCATTATATCAAACACACTTTTATTCTTCCTTTTCCTTTCTTTGTTTAATTTAGCTTCCCAGCACCAGAACCCGCACCCTTCTCTTTCCGGCTCCCCGGCCACTTTCTTCCTTCACGGAGCTAACGTTGACTTGGACTCGCTGGAAAAGCTCAACCGTCATACCCCGATCCTTATCGGACTGGCCCTTCTCCGAAACATGAAGCGTGTATTCCTCGTTGTCGAAGTCGCTTTCACGACGCACCACCAGTTCTCGTCGCTGTTCAACTGATCGTACAGTCGAATCTCCAGGCAACACGAAGTCTTCCAGGCGGACAACACCTTCGATGCCGAACCGCGGTACAAACACCACCACTCCGTTCTCGAACACACGCATGACGTATCCCTCCTCGTCGATACCCGCATCCACGCCGTCCACGGCCACCTTCTCACCACGGGTTTTGAGGGCTTGTCCAACGTAATATTCGATACTGGCTCGGCCAGCAAATTGGGCATTGCGATGCCGGTAGTTGATATTGCGGCAGATGTCCTCCAACCGGTTGCGAGTCATGACACCATCGATAGACGCGCGGCCATCTTCGCCATCGTAACCAATGGCAGATGCCAATTGTCGGTGAACCAGCAAATCGGCGTATCGTCGAATCGGTGAGGTAAAGTGAGTGTAAATGGGTGATGCCAATCCGTAGTGGCGGAACTCTGACTCAGCATGGGCGCCAGCACAGAAATACTCTGCAGAGGTCATGCACCGAGTGGCTAGGATACGAACCAGGGTGTTGAAGAAGGGGTTTTTCTCGTCAACGCAGCTGTCGAGCGAGTCAGCAAGAGCCCGGGAGCTTGAGACATCGAGTCTCATATCCCGTTTCTTAGTAAGCTGGTGGGTGAGATCTTCGAAATTCTGCGGCGGAGGGGTAGCGTGTCGTCGTAGTAAAGCGGTTTGAGAGAAACTGTCGTAGATTTTGGCTGCAACGGTGATGTTGGCGTGAAGCATGAACTCCTCCACAAGACTGTTGGTTTCCAACATGGCTTTGGTCTTGACATCAGTAAGCGGATCTCCAACCTCATCGTTGTCAGCCTCAATTCGAACTTCCGGGGAAGCAAGGTTGAGCGCTCCTGCATCCATACGCTTCTGGCGGAGGATCTTGGAGAAACGCAGCAGAGTGCGCATACTCTCTGTCAATTCGTCCTTCTGCGAAGAATCATCAATGCGTTTTTGGGCCTGCTCATAACTGAATGCTTCACGAGATCGGATAACTGATTTCGTGAAGTCGGCGGAAACAACCTCGGCGTTAGGAGTCATCTCCCACAGGACGGAGAAGGCATAACGCTCCACGTAGGGCTTGAGAGAGCAAAGATCTGTGCCCAGCAAGTGCGGAAGCATATCGATACGCTTATCCACCAGATACACTGTCGTTCCACGTAGGCTCGCCTCGAGATCCATGGCGTTGTTCGGCTTGACAAAGTGTGACACATCCGCGATATGAACACCGACTTCAAAGTTTCCATTAGGCAGCAGCTGCGCATGGAGAGCATCATCAATATCTTGACAGCCTGGGGGATCGATACTGCAGATGAGAAGATCCCGGAGGTCTTTTCGTCCTGTCCAACCGATGTCCTCCATGCTCGATGGAACCCTCCAATCGTGTCCTTCAACCGGGAGACAGTCCAGAACTGCCTTGGGGAATGGCTTGTATTGAACATCATACTCAAGGAGGAGCGCCTCCGTTTCTGCCCCCTTAGTCTCCAACTCACCCAAAGACCGAATCAAGTGGCCTGTCGGATATCTAGAATCCCGGTCCCAGGCATCGATTGTGACAAGGATCCGCTGCCCAAGAAGATCTCCGGCCTGCCTAGTGCGAATTCTGATTTTCGGAACCTTCTTATCCATGGGCAAAACGAATACATTTTGCTGTCGTCGTCCAGAGCTTGCCTGGGTTCCCGTAGAGCCAGAGTCGACATGTCCAACGTACTGTCGCCAGTTCCGTTTCATAACACCAACAACCTTGGCTGTCGGCTGAGGCTTGCCCTCCGAGTTCTTGCCGTGGGCGTTTTTGACCTCTTCCTGCAAAGCCTTTCGCTCCTTCTCAGTAACCACCGCTTCATTATCACCGGCATCGGGGTTGTCGTTCTTGGTCACTGCCTCTTCATCGACAAGCTTGGTCGAAGGTGACTTCCACTGATCTTGAGGGAGCACTTCGATCACAACGACATCTCCAGAAATGGCTCGGTTGCTGTTATCCCGGCCCAGGATGAGAAGAGGCTTATCGAATGCTGCGACGTTGACGGAGCCTTCTAGATAGTTGTATGGCGAAACATTGAAAACGCCCTGATGTAACGTTCCAGCCCGGATTCCCGTCATAAGCTTCGACATCGTATAGTATTCCGGATAGAAGAGCTCTCCACGCGCACCCTTCGCTTCCCGAGCTTCCTTAGACTCGTTAATCATATCGAGCAACCTGTCGGAGTCCTCCAGGCCGGCAACGTAATCTGGCAGCGACAGGGCTGTCACACCTTCTTCCTTCGCCTTTCGCAAGCTGTCTTTATCATCCGTAATCACCACAATGGCGGGGATGCCCTTCTCTTTCTTTCCTTTTCTGAGTGTGGTCTGCAGATGTTCCGTGTACCACTTTGCTACAGCCCGCACTGCTCGATCGTTGCGATCATTTATCGATTCATTATGATCCCGGCGAACGTGTGTCTCCAGTCGAAACTCGTTGAAGAAGAGGTAGAAGCGCTTCTCGTCGGTTTTGATCAGGGAAAGCAAGCGGTTGTAGAGGGGTAGAGACTGGTTCTTCAGCTCCTCGAGCACGGTTTGGAGGACGATCACATCGTAGAAGGCTCCCGTATGTTCGAAGAGGTCCATTCCGTTCAATAGCGCATTCGTATCGGGAACAAGGTAGTGGCCTCGGGGGAAGGCGCTGGTACCGGCGGGCTGATCTGAAAGAACAAAAGGCGTAACTGGTTTCGCATTAGCCACAGCTGTCCGGGAATATCTCGAATCCCAGATTTCCTTACTGTTTCCATTTGCATCGGTCGGCGCGACATGCGGACATGTCGAGCACAGCTTCGATGAGCACGGGATATCCTGTCTTAGATAAAGCTCACGAACGATCTTTTGCACCTTTCCACTTTTCGTGGACCGGACGAAGACTTTGCTGGTGACATTGGCGGCATGCGGATCCGAAGACAAATCTCTTCGAAGACTCTTCATCTTGGCTCAAATCGGCCCGACTTGCTGTCAGGTTAATTTTTTGCTGGGCAAAGAGATCACGTCGCGGCTGATTGTTGCAAATGGTGACGTTCTTTTTCCACCGTTCCGCCAGCCGAGTCGCATTCAAGATTCCCGTCCCAATCGGGCAAGTCTACCGATCGACGTACTACCGGTAATCGCCATCGCATAGGAGAATGATGGAAGCATCCTCAACCATCTTGAGGGACACATATTAATCTTATATCAAAGAAATTCACATCGGTCTATTCTTTCATACCTTGTTCACTCGCAAACATGGTCCTCGCAGTAAGGAAATATTATCTAAAACCCAGTCTCATGGTTTACTAATCCATGTTGAACAGGCCGTGGGGCAGCTATGCTCGACTGCGAGTATGACTGCTAATCTGGCCCAATGTCAAATATTGGTGCGCAAAGCAGTTGCAGCTGGTGCTAAAGTATGCCATCTCTACTTCAATGCTACGGATGATCCACTCATCAGGGAATAGGCCCTATTTCTGCCAGAAGCAGCAGACTACATCGGCTCGTCCGCTGCAGAAACCGTTTCACTTGCTCGTTCCGTACAGGAAAGTGAATTTGTACTGGGACTGCAAGAGGAAGCCCGGCAAGCGAAGCTACATATCAATGTTGGCATTCATGAACCGGCTCCAGGCGGCCGAGTAAAGAATACTTTGGTCTGGATCGATGAAAAGGGTGTCATCTCCCAACGTTACCAGAAGATCCATCTATTTGATGTAGACATCAAAGACGGGCCGGTGCTCAAAGAAAGCGCGTAGGTGTTTCATCTCAATTATGGTCTGGGCCTCGTGGCAAAATTAACTGTCTATGAAGGAGTGTTGAAAAGGGCATGGAAATAGTTCCTCCTTTCGAAACACCTGTTGGACGTGTTGGTTTGTCCATATGTTTTGACGTAAGTCGTAGAAGGCGTTCCCATAACAGCGATAGAAGACTAATTCAACTTATTTCATTGCAGTTACGTTTCCCTGAGATCAGCCTTGCCCTGAAACGGCAAAATGCTCAAATCATCACTTATCCGTCAGCATTCACGGTTCCAACAGGGCGTGCGCACTGGGAGACACTGTTGAGAACTAGAGCCATTGAAACACAGTCCTATGTGATAGCGGCAGCCCAAGCCGGTCCCCACAACGAGAAAAGACGAAGCTACGGCCATTCGCTGATCGTAAACCCTTGGGGAGAAATTGTGGCTCAACTCGGGGATGAGTATCAAGAGCCCCAGATTGCGGTGGCGCATATTGACTTTGACCTTTTAGCCAAGGTCAGGCGAGAGATGCCGCTACTCAGGAGGACAGATGTCTACCCGGAAGTTTAGGAACTGGCCGCACAATGCTACTTTAGTTGTAATTGTGTACTTGACATCAAGTTTATGATATAACGAAATACTCGACAGCTTGATCGCACCCATTAGTGTCAACCGATTAGACAAGCCAGTTGAATAGTAACTTTGGATACAAGCATTTGATTTCATCTTTTCTGAAGACTTCTAAAGTTGAACATAGAAAAGAAAATTCAGGATATACGTCGACATAGTACATGAAATGAAAAGAGGAATGAAAAAGAAAGAGGAAAGGAACGAGTAATTCAAATATAAAAAAGGCCTGTCTAGAGCCGAACCGGCAAATCGCATCTGCTGGTACAGTACAATCCCTTCGCAATTTTTTCGTCCATGTCCGATCATTCTATGTACAGCGTACAAGGCAACCTCCGGACCGATACAGTCTATTTCTTGACCTTGTCAGGGTCTTCCAGAATACCCTCGGCTTCCAGCCTCCGTCGGGCTTCTTCCAGAGCCCACGTTTGTATCCTGTCATGATGTTAGTTCTGTGCAAATAAACGATACAGGATATTCGTTCCGGCACAGCCATTGAGGAGCGCGAAATGGTCATCCTCACGACAAGCCAAAACAAAGGGGATCAAACATACGAGGTGTCTGGCTTGAAAACGTATGCGACTCCCGCAGCGAGGAGACTTCCAATGAAACCGTAGTACCACATGGTCTCCCAGCCTTCCTTCTGGTACTTCTGGCCGGGCTTCACACCGAAAAGCCAGCCGGTCGGGGGGTCGTAGTGATCACCATGATCCGCGGCACGGAGGTGGCTGCGAGTGGAAAAGCCCTGGGCGTTCCGGGGCGTGCGGAGGAGAGCGCGAGCGCGAAGAGTATGCGTCAATTGCCGAGCAGACATTGTGGATGTGTAATTGGTCGTCGAGGTTCGAAAAACTCTAGGGGTTCAGGTCTGAGATGATAGGACAGGCGGTGGCGGGAGAGGAACCCCTGTCAGATATAGCGAGGCAGGGAGTGTTGGAACCGGACGCTGAGATAGTGTGATCTCTTCGGTCAGCGATAACAAAAGCCGGCGCAATCAAGAGACTTTAGAAGTGAGTGCTGCGTGAGAGTCGCAGGAGGTGATAGGTGGAGGGGTGACGGGATCGAGACACCGGTTGATGTTGGACGAAGCCGCAAAAGGCCGATGGATTGACGGAGTCATCGCGCTAGTCCTGATCGGGCCATCATGCATGGCGGATTTGATGCCTGGTTCTACAGGCAGAAACTGCTGCCCCAGGTGTCACCTACGCGCGACGCGTCCCTCCCTTATCGCATCCTCGACTGAAACGCAATTACAGCGCGCAGTTGCCACTTACCACACCCCCCATGACCCCAATGGTGCACTACAGCTCCTCCATTCTTTTAACATCACCCTCGCTTGCTGAACATTAGGCTTTTTGTCGGTGTACTGCATAGTATCGACTCGAATTGGTATAATTCTCCGAAGGCCAAACCACTATTAAACACATAGCTAATAAGCCCAATTTAAAGGCCTCCACCGAGATGCGTGTTGCTCTTCTACGGGGGCACGCAAAGCATTGACCATGCATCCCGTGAACAGAGACATGCGCTCCCACCCGATCTCCTCGAACTCGCGCTCGAAGCTCAATGCATTTCGGTATACAAGCAAGGATGGAACGGAGCCTGAAAAATCGCCCACGAAAACACCATCAAAGAAGGCAAATGCCAACAAAGAAAATAAGGCATCATGGCTGAATGGTGTGGCTGCGTCTCCTTTGGATCAAAGCAAAGAGGAACCATCCTTAGGTGCAGCAGAGTCAAAGCCGATCAAAGAGTGTCCTCAGACCCCCGGGAACAGGATACCCTTAGCAGACTTGATCGGTAACGCCGAAGACGCTATCACTCAAGCTCCAGGACCACAATTCACGCCAGAAGATTATGTGACCTGGCAGCATGTGCCTGTGAGTTCCAACCAGGACCCGATGTCTCAAACACCGGCGATCAAAGGCAGAAAGCGCCGCCACAGCTCGTCTCCGACCAGCTCGCCATTAGCCGGAAACTCCAAGAATGCGCGAAAAGGATCTTTCGATTTGCAGGCATACCAAGGGCTGATAAAAACCCCTCAGAATGATCTTGCAACTGAATTGTGGAACAACTATGTGGGCAAGATGGGGGCTAACGGCACTAAAGTCCCTCAACCTCAATTGCCCAATATGCTGTCATCTTCACCCCAAACACCAGTGTCCCTAAGAACGAGTCGCGACTCGCCTGGGCTGAGACGGACGACTAGCTGTCTTGCTGAGTGGCCTAACTCCGCAGCGAAACGGAGAAAGGTAGATGGGGAGAGAGTAGGGACTGGGCGTGGCATTTTCTCTCGGACAAAAAGCAGCCTGGCTGATTCGAGCAGCTTCAACCCCTCCAAAATTAACTTTCTTGTTGAAAAAATCGAAAGAAGCCTTCGCGAGACCCCAGCGGCACAACCAGATCCCTCAGGCTCGCCTATACCAGCCAACAAGAGAGGGCAGAGAGATCGATCGGAATCACCAGTGTATAGCAAAGACGCTCCTCAACATACGACACGGAGCAATAAAGGTATTGGAGACCAACGAGCTTCGGGGTCCCAGAGCACGAGCACCGTGCAGAAATCCTCGTCTGATTTCGGAGACGATGACCTGGATGATGATGATTTCTTTGATCTTGCGCAGGCCTCTATGGATCCTTTTGTGGAACCTAGTCAACATGGCAGTGCAATAGGGGCTGTGAATACCAATTACGCCGGCGCGTCGGCCCCGGCCAACCAGCAAAGTCTCCCTGGCACCAAAAACACCTCTCATTCTAATACGATGGAATCCGCGCCGGCCATGAATGTTAACAACAAAAGCGAATATACCCTTGATGCGGATGAGTTCGATGATGATTTTAATGAATTCTCAGATAATATTGAAGACATTCTCGCGGAATGCGAGGCAACCCAGGATACGAAGCTGGCAAGACCTGCAGCGAAGAACTACATGGCTTCCGATCATCCTGGATCGTTGAATGGTATAGACAGTTCTATGCCCGCGGTCGAACCGGTGAAAGGGGCTAGCAAGCCAGTTGAGGCGTCTTCGGGCGACGAGTTTGACGACAATGACTTCGACATGGAGGCCATTGAACAATCTATGATGCAGTCAGGTGAAGAGGGTTCAAACGGGGTTTGTCTTTCTTGGTGAAAAAAGATATCTTATAGATATTCGCTAAGTATCTTACTTATAATTAGACTTTGAACAATCGCCAGGCCATCAAGCGTTATCTTATTGTTGATGTGGCTGAATCCACCTATGCAACTTCTAAGGGTCGCATTCAGCCAGAGCAGGTCTGCCATTACGTCTCTCGAATAATCATAACCCCATAGACTAACACAGTAATCAGGTGCTCTTAGTACATGACGAGAGAACAAAGCAGAAGAAGGTTGTCAGTCTGCGGGATTCATGGTTCGATAGCCCATGCAACAAGGATCTATACATCCATCTTATCGGCGATTTTGACGCCAACGGCCATTGCGTTATCGATGACTCTCACAACATGATAATCCTTCACCCAGACCATCTTGTTTCGGCTACTGTTGTTGCAGACTCTGTCAGCTGCCAGCGACGAGCTGTCCTTCAAGAGCGTATCAAAAATACCGGCGACATCGGAAAACCCCAGGCTTTTGGAAACATATTTCATGAAGTCTTTCAAGAAGCCATGAAGACAAATCAGTGGGACACTGCCTCGCTCAGGTCTCTAGTTGAAGTTGTTGCTGTGAAGCATATCGAAGAGTTGTACTTGATTCATATGAGCATTGCAGAGGCAGTCGAATACATGATGAGCAAGGTCCCAGCCATGGTGTCTTGGGCCGAGCTTTTCCTCAAGTCACAACCAAGTGTGAGTATAACTAAAGATTTCCCCATGGTCGCCTTTTACTAATATTCATTTTTTCCAACAAGGCTCAATCTCTTGTTGAAGATCGGAATAGTTCCAAATTGCGCCTGAGCATTAGCAAATTGCTCGAGGTTGAAGAGCACGTTTGGTCCCCCATGTACGGTCTGAAAGGGAATATCGACGCAACCGTGCAGGTCGCTTGCCATGAAGAAGGAAAGAAGAAGAATCTTGTTGTTCCACTCGAACTCAAGACAGGTAACAGAGATACAAACCAGGCTCATAGGGCTCAAACAGCTCTCTACACCCTTCTGCTATCCGATCGTTACGGTTAGTATATCTGCTTACCCAATGCACTTGGCATCTGCTAACCTCATCGTTCCATCCTTTCAGACCTAGACGTTACATTCGGGCTACTCTACTATCTCGAAACAGCAAAAATCTTCCGGATTCGTGGAATTCGCCATGAACTCCTTCAAATGATACAGGCACGTAATCGTCTAGCGGGATATATGCGCCAAAGAACGGAACTCCCGCCGATGGTCAAGCGAGCGGGAATGTGCAACAGATGTTTCTCTAAGACACCTTGTTTCATTTATCACAAGCTTGCGGACGACGGTGATGGCGAATCGAGCGGGCTCGGCGACGAATTCGTGAAAGCCATGGAGCACTTAAATCCCCAGCATCGTGACTTCTTCCAGAAATGGGACAGTCTGCTTACAAAGGAAGAGCAAAGTATGATGAGATTTAAGCGGGAACTCTGGACTCTCCTGAGTAGTGAACGAGAGGCTCTTGGCCGATGCTTCGGGAACATTGTCATTGAACCTGGGACAACGTACGAAGACAAAGATGGGTTGAAAATCAACCGTTATCGGTACACTTTCATCAAGAAGCACGCTTCGACGAACTTCTCATTTACCGAGTCTCAGCTTACTGTCGGAGAGCCGATTGTCATCTCGGATGAGAAAGGCCATTTCGCTCTCGCAAACGGTTACATAGTGCAGGTCAGCACCAAACGGATCACAGTTGCAGTGGACCGAAGACTTCGAAATGCTCGGTCCAAAACCAAGGACTTCGACGCCAACAGCAATCAATCGTTCAAAGCCATAATGGAAATACTCGATAGC